CCTATAAATTCAACAATACACAATAATTTATACCTTTCATCATTTATTTCATAACATCATTTATACCTAATCCTTTATTGACGATTATAAATAATGTCATGTTTTTTAGATATTTTAAAATGTTAGTTTTTGAGAAAATTTATATACCGTAATTCCATAAATTATGTCACAGTAAAAATTTTATCGTGTTATTACATATGTATATATATTTTATATACAACAACGAAGCACTTGAAGCCCACGTACTTACTTGAGATGTGACATGCAACATTGTGATATTTCGACTGTAATTAATTAAAGATAAACAAAACATGAGTGACGATTTTCCTTCTCAGGAGACTGTTCGCGACCAAAAGTAGGTAATGACTGACGACAATTTATTGAATGATGATTGACCGACGCGACGTAAGAAAGTCCCGCGATTTTTTATACTCGAAATGAACAAAAAATATACCAGAAACTTTGAACCCTTGACAACAACGAGCGGAAACAATAGATCTATTGGCTTCTCGGAATCGTTATGACTGAAAAAATTTTTAAATCGACCCTACTGACTATAATTTTTTTTATTGTGACAGTACGATCATTGTATAGTTTTGGTCAAAGTAAGTTCGATTAAAAAGTCTTTACTGTTAATTATTCACTGGCGAAGTAAATGTTACTATTTGGTTTGTGGTTTGTTATCTCATCTTGATTACGTTTGAAATCAACAAGCGTTTAAATCATCGATTGCCAAAGAAGTCCCGAGAACAGCTATCAAGTTTCGTTATGATAAGCGCGTTGAGAAGAAAATCGGTAAAAGGTCGCAACGCCTGCTGTGAATGTATTGCTAAATAGTCAATATTTCTTTCGGTGAAATATGTTGTATAAAATTTGCAGTTGCCGAAAGAAGTTAAATAATTAGATCCTAGATCTATATGAACTTTTATAGATCTTTTACTATAGAACTTTTATAACTCACAACTATTTTCGCTGATGGTGAGATTGACTTCAAAATATTAGAAAATTTTATTTTAAAGTTTTGCGCACTTTTATCGTAATAATTATTACGGTATTACTTAATTATAATTAACAAGTATCGATTTTTTTATTTATGCAATAACTGTTAATTGCATCTCTAAAATATGCTAGCGGAAAGATAAACGAACGAATAGATTCGATGAATGATACATCATGAACTTCCTTCATTATGTATATAGGATACATTACATTTTCGCTTTATCTGACTGCTCCAACATTGCATTTCAACAATACTAGACACTACAGACGCGCGCTACGCGCGCGCTATTTATCTTTAACATTTCACTATTAACCCTATTATACACAACTGTCAAAATATACAATGACAGCTGCAAATGAAGTAAGCGCAGCAAGAGAACCAATCGGCATCGCGGAAAAGCGGCAACAATAAACTTCACATCTCCTTTTTAGAAGAGGATTGTTATTGTTTGGAAATAAATTTGCAAAGCTTTTATTGCTCACAACTTGGTCTTATTGTGTACACACACATTCCCGAAACAGTATCTTTGTTTGATTACAAACTATCTTCATCTGATTTTTTAGTAGTGACAATGTCCGAATAATTTGCGTTAGTATTTTTGTGTAAAAAAATATGACGATTATATTACAGTATACCGGAAAAATGTTAGAAAATGAAACAATTGTTTAAAGGTATCCTGTATATCATATAGCATCTATTTGCTTCGGCTGTATGGAATGTTAATGTGTAATATAATATAATCTGCGTAATACATACATACATACAGGTAAGATAATATTTCTTGCACATATACATATGTATGCAATGTGCATGTAATCGCGGAGACAGAAAAGTAATAACGTCTTCAGTTTAATCTTAGCCGCGAACTTAAGGTAGGCGTCTCGCTACGTGCTAGTCATGTGACTGTTTGTAGGTTTTCACCAGTTTTCACGTTCAGAAATATATTTCAGGCAATTTTTGCTAACGGAAAAATAATTTTATGAATTATGGTGTAAAATTTCATACACGCAGAAAATTTTTCTCGTAAATACAAGTATACACGAACAAAGTAAATACCATACTAATCTTGCACGGCTAGGATATATTCATAATATGCAAAAGATTTCAAGAAAGTATAGGAAAATTTAGAGAGCAAAAAATAAAACTATACGCAGAAGTAAATATTTCCATCAAGTATGGGACTTTCGAGAGCGCGTTTTAACTACGTTAATTTAAAGACGAATGATTCAATTATATTTTGTCCGATTGTGTCTTATCCCGAATATCGCTGATGAACAAAAAACGAGACGTCTGTTGCAGTCATGTCAAAAAACATAAGTTCAATAAGTTGCCGTTATAGGCTGTGGCGGTCAGCTGTCCGCCACGTGCGAACTTAAGAACGCTATAGGGACCCTGCCGAGAGTGCCGAGCTGCCCTAGATATAAAGGTCGATGTTGAATCTTAATCACGCGAGAATGTACCGGCGATACGCCGCGTAGCGGACGCGAGGCGAATCCTCTCGCCGCGCGAGCCCACGTTGCCGCTCGCGCCGCGCGCCTTCCGTCGTCCACGATCGCGGTTATTATCGCATTTCTATAAAGAACATAAACTATTGCCAGATACGCAACGAATATTTCTATACAGTTCACAATAGGTACCATTCTAGATTATATTTTTCCTATACTGTCTTAAAAAACAACGCTCAATCCAAGACATGTGAAGTTGGCAATTCAAGCTACAACGTCGAATATACACATACTAGTATGGGACTTTTTTTACTGTTCTCATATTTCCTTGTTAGTATGGCAAATTTATTTACCTTTAGGTTACAAGATGTATCTGATCAAACTATTACATTTCTATTGTCATATATTAATTTCCGGTTGAATACGCGTATATCTTACCGGAACCTAGCAAATCTAGTAAATTTTATTATGAGTATTCTACATTATTCGAGAAAAATTTTCTGCGTGTACGTGACAAAGTATGTTACTTTTTACAAATTATGTGATTTTTCTCATTTGACTCCGTTTTGATCAGCTGATCATGCGAGTCGTCGAGAAAGGTTATCATCTCCTTTTCGATTAAATTTTGACAATTACTGAGAAAGGGTTTCAAAACGCATGACAGGAGTGTCAATCACTATCCAATTCGGCTAAGAAAGACGAGCCCCATAACCTGCAACTACAGTGATTAGCCAGCGGCGTTGCCAAGTCTTCCCAACCTCACCTCGACCAAAAAATGTCTGCTCGATTACCGCATTTTCACTAAAATAAACTAAAAAATTAGCAGCGAAATCTCCGGTAACCTATATATTTTATGGTTGCATCGGATTCTTCGAAATCTAATGTACAAAAAGCAATGTTTTTTTCTTACTTCATCTAATCGAAAAATACGAAAATATGTGATTGAAACCGTGATAGAGCCTTCTTTTCTGTATGAAGTAATGCAAAATTTGTGATTTTCGAGATCGATTTTCTAGAGTAAATAGTCGGTAAGGAGCCACAGAAAAAATCGACTGCAAAGCTGATCATATAATTTGATATAAAATCCAAAATCGAAAACTTTATCTAATACATGCCCTGACGAGACGACTACCTTAAAATCTTTTAAACTATTGAAATTTTTAATATATACTTCCCTAATCTCGGGTACTCGCGGTCGCGACTAATTAATACTAATAAATTAAACAATAAATTAAATAAACTAATAAATAAACTAATGAATACGGGTAGGTAGGAATATATTACGCGTTAGGTAAATAGGATATGGATAGGTATAGAAATATGAATAGGTAGGTCAAATACATTGACAGAGAAGTTCGGGTGGGTAGAGACTAGAAACACGGAAGGATTATAATTTGAAAATATAATGTGTTAATTATACATGTATACATATAGATTATGTATGTCAAAAATTTGAATTATAAATCCTGAATATATATAGCTATATACGTAATATTATATAATATTATTTAATTGTCTTATTACTAATTATATGTAATAACTTTTTTATTTATTACATAATGTGTAGTTCTAAAGTATATTAAAAATATGTGTGTATGTGTATAATGACTTAATTATATGTAATATCAATTATAATAAAATTATTTCAATAAAAAATTGTAAGAAAAATTATACAATAAGAAAAAAACTGTTGCTTCAATTAAACTGTTGCTATCACGGAATGCCAAGAACATAAGTAATTTATTATTCAATTGTATTATTGTTAGACGCGATATTTAGATTATTAAACCAATAATTAAATTATTGATTTAATAATCCAGATATCCTCCTTTTTCGTAAAACACATGTGGATGACTTTTCTTCCACTGGCTAATCAAGTAGGGACTAATATAATGGTCCGACAATTGGAAGCATTCCAATTTAGGACATTGCTCGAGAATAATGGAAACATTATCAGGTGTTACAAATTTCACGTCTTGCAGATGTAAATTTTTCAAGTTTTTGCACTCCGCTAGTAATTTCAAATTGCGATCAGTGAGGACAATACTACACAAATATATTTCTTCCAGCAGTTGACAGGAGGAAAGCAATCTGCTCAAGCTATCATCAAGGTCGAATATCAGGCCTTTCGATTCCATTCTGTAACAAGAACCATATAATTATTACAGAACTTCAATCACAAAAATAAAATCAAAGTAATTTTTTCAAGAATCTTGCAAGAGAAACAAATTTTAATAAAGAATACGTAATATATATATACAGGGTGAATTTTAATGGATGTCCCATTCACAATTGTCATCTGCCAATTTGTCTCAATTTTCTTTCTATATATATAAAAAAATTTTCCATTTTGTAACGAAGACGTAAAGTTTAACAATTATTCTATATAAGTGAAGTGCTCTTTATCAAAAAAAGGATGCTCGATGAAGTATTGATGGTAAAAGGATGGGACATCCATTAAAATTCACCCTGTATATATATATATATATATTTCGAAAGAAAATGTAGCACATACAGTTGACCAAGCTCCACTATTCGTAAATTCTTACAGTCAGCAAGGGCATTAATACCCTTCGATGTAATTCCATATAAACTTATTTCTTGCAAGTCCCGACACGAATTTCCTAACTCTATTGCAACGGTGTCGCCTGGGAACCTCTCCTTACTGCGAAGATGACATTCCAAAATTAATTCACGCATCCGTTTATTTTTTTGCAGTATTTTGCAAAGACATTGAACTTTTATTTCTGGTGAATAAAGTGCCAACTTTTCCAGGCTCTCTAGATTTTCGAGACATGAAAGTCCTTTATCACCAATTGTAAATTCGTCCAATTCGTCCAATTCCAACTCTAAAAAAAATATGTATCATAGTTATATATGCAACTTAACAATAATTTTGATATTTGTATAATCTTTATATATATATACACGTCTACATCTACATCAAACTTTTAGTAAAAAAATACAACTTTTTTTTAGCATACATTACTAAAAGTTATGTGTGTGTGTGTGTATATATATATATATATATACATATATATAT